CAAGGGGGTGAAGAAGTAAAACCAAGAACTTACTTTCCTTGGAGTCTTCCCTCATTATCTGGCCCACAGAGGACCCTTGTCTGGCTCCCTGGCCACAGAGACGGAGTTTCTCCATCTCTGTCATCTGCTCATACCTTCCTCTGAGGACAGATTTGGGGGTGATAGGAAAAGGCACCTCTCATGGGTTTTTTTAATTTTTGCTTTTTCTTCTTAGTCTGTCTACGGTTTATTTTTTAGGCTGTCACTTCTGTGTTTCCCAGATGTTTTAGCTGTAATGCTAGTGTGTGTCACTGGGATATTTGGTGGCTGTTGCAGGACTTTTGAAATATCTCTATTTCATCTCTTATTTCCACTTGATTGGACAAAAAGTCTTGAAGTGTGATCATCTTAAGAGTGCCATCATTTCTGGAAATACCCTTTAAAAAAAAAAAAGACAGGCTCTTACTATTTAGACAAGGCTGGCCTTGAACTCAGATTTGCCTGCCTCTGCATTATGAGTGCTGGGATTAAAGGTTTGTGTTTCACTACTTTCTATTTTTTCCCAAAAGTTCAGTTATATTTTGAATATCTTCAAGTCCAACATAAACTCCTCTCATCGTTCTTAGGACAGACTAAATTATGTTTTGTGTGTGATTTCCATCAGTGAATCCTACTCACTGAGATGCTAAGTAGTTTTACCGTTAAAGCTCTTGCATCCATTTATTCCAGCCAAGGGTTGTGATTGTACAGAGTAGATACCAACTGGAAGGGTAAAGGGAGGAGTTATTGTGTGTCCTGTGGGCTTTGGGGTCACTTAGACTCAAAGGAAGAGAAAGAAGGGACCTACCACTCTGTTCCACAGCTGTGAACCTGGACACGGAACAGGGACAGAAAGTAGTGTCTCCTTCCCGAGGTGTTGAGACTGTATAGCTTCTTCTATCTGTTAACCTGTGCTTTTGCTTAACCCTCTTTTCTTTGTTAGGGGAGGGAAGAAAGGAGGAAAGGAGAGAAAAGGAGATCAAGAAAGCAGAGTATGTACCTGCTCCTTAGTGACCAGTATGGAGTGCTGTATCCACCTTGCCCCAAAGCCATCTCTGCCCCTCAACTGAACCAGATGTCATTTACCTGTATCGATCTGTTTTCTGTTCTGTTTCCAGTAGAGTTCGCTCCGGTGGAGTTAGCTTGTGGAAGGCACCTTGGAAGCACCAGTCTGCTTATCCAGCTTGTTTCCTCAGCTTTATCAGCTGGATTCCCCTCTTGAGTCTCAGAATTGACCAGTGTTTGTATTTCTTTTCTGGTGTAAGGAGCCCCGTGCATTTACTCTCTTACCTTTCACACACAAACCTAACAAAGCTGTGTTAAGCCTAGTAAAACTGTGTTTCCCACTTTGATGTTTATTTTGCTTAACTTTATATTTCTAGTGTTGGTTTATTAACAATCCTTGCTAAGACTGACAGATTGTAGGATCTATTTGCATTGGTTCCATGAATATTTTGACTAATAAAGAAGATAGCATTGCTAGATAAAAAGATACATAATGTATATTTTGTAACCATTAAACCAAAGTCTGAGCTGAGTATTTTCTATGCATTCAAACATTTAATCTCCATTTAAAAGCATGTGTGAGGTGTATAAAACTATTTCCTGTTTTCCACATGAGGAAATGAGAAGACCCAGAGAAGTCAAGTAAATAGTTATTAAATGTCAGAAGCAGGGCCAGAACTTATTTTACTCTCAAGTTCAAAATATCAGTGTCTTACTTGAATTGCCACTCAGCACCTTTCAGGCAGGAGCTTCTTTATCAAGGAAGGGTCTGTTTTTGGTGGTGTTGACCAAGGAGAATGGATAAAATATAATTTAAATAATCATAGTAGTCGTCACAGTTAGATTCATATTTTCCCTCCCTCCATCGCTCCCTCTCCCCCCCACACTCTCTCCATACATGCTTCATGCACATTGTCTCCGTGGTTTCCTTGAGCAAACATGAAGGGTGACTCACTTTACCTAATTAGATTAATGGAATGTTGGTTTAAGAGTTATTACTGTCGGTGACAAATGTCTACTTTGTACTCCTAGGCTGGTGCCTCTATCTCACCTGTCAAGTGTGAGAACAAATAACCATTGCTCACCATAGTCTATTCAAGGGTTGCTTTTCTTCATGTGTTTGGGCAAAGCAGGGTCATTATTACTCAGCTTGTTGGGGTGGGGCAGGCACTTATCTGAGAACTGTCCCAGAACCCTAAGGAAGGTGATGATATGCTTTCTGTGTGCACACAAGCTCGTGAGAGTCACACTTTAGTGGAGACACGAACACCTGACTTCAGTTTCCAGGCCAGCACATGGCTGCCTAATGCTTTAGAAAGCGACAAAGGCAATGGCAAGGCCACTGGTTTATCCGCAGCAGCCGCAGACATCTGGCATCAGACATGACAGGTGGTGAGGGCACCTCCACACGCACCCCTGGAAGAGGCCCTTTCCTTCTGGCGACTGTCAACTTGCAGTAATCATAGGATGCCCACAAGCTTCAGCACAGGAAAAGTAAGATGGAGGAGTTAGGTAAAAGCTCAGAGAAGTGATAGACTTTCCTCTAGTGAGTCCTGTTTCCCCTCTCAACAGCAAAGATAGTGAGTTGACAGATGTTTGTGATTCCAGCTGTGTGCACAGCCTGAGCAGTAGTTGAGAACATTGTGTTCTACACCTGTTCATGTTCAGAAGGGTGAGAGTGTTGTGTTAAGTTACCATCTCTCTCTGGGGGGTGGAGTGTTGGGTGGCTTGTGTTTGTCTGAATGGGTGACAGATTTCTGTTTGAAAGCTTTGACCCTGCCGGTTTTTCCTTAGACAATCAGATCTTCTAAAACAACAAACAAACCAAAGTAACAGAGGTCATAATAGCTCTCCCCCACTTAGCTCTCCATTTCTGTTAAATTGAAGTTACCGTCAAGTTAAGTGGATTAATTACTTTATACTGATGTAACCAAATTTCTGACAGAAACCACTTACTAGGCTCACAGTTCAGGAGGGTTGGTCCACAGTTACTTAGCCCCATGCCCTTGAAGAAGGAAAGAATATCATGGTAGCAGGAGTGTGCTTGCTAGTGTGGAAAGGACAGGGATCAGGCTTACTCTTCAGAGGCATGTTAATTAGGCTCCTTGTTGTGACCCGAAGCCCTGCAAGGAAAGAAGGGTTTATGCTGGCATATAGTATGATGGAAAGCAGTTCATGGTGGGCGGCAGGAGCAAGAGACTGCTGTATTGGTTACATTAACCACAATCAAGGAACAGAGTGAACAGCAAGTCAGGCCCAGCTATAAAACCCTAAGGCCTACCCCCAATGACTCACTTCTAATGAAACCCCACCTCCTAAAGGATCCACAGCTTCCTAAACAGTACTATCAACTGGGGCCAAGTATTCAGACACATGGCTGAGCCTGTGGGAAGCTTTACCAAATCAAAAGGTGCCCCTCCCCTGCCCCCGTGACTTCCTTCCTTCACCTAAGTCTCTCACTTCTTTGCATGGCCACAATCTTCCAAAATAATGCTTCCAGGTTGAGATCAAGCTGCTGACACACATTTTTCAATCAGGCTTTAACAGTAGGACTGAGAAACCAAGGCACATTTAGGTCTTGTTTGACATTGAAACCCAATGTAATTCAAGGACAAACATTGTGTAGCTTAAGTAGCATCCACTTTTTGGCAAATCATCTAATTGACACAATTTGAACACCTCTGCCAACTTAAATGTTCTTCGGGAAAAAATAAAAAAAAATGAAGAATATATTCATGAATTAGTTCGTGTGTAGATGGATCCTGATTTGGGACTGAAGTAGTAGCCATCTTGGCAGCCTACCTATGGGCTAGTTGTTGGCAGATCAGTCAGATGTGGGATTCATTCTTTCATCTCATGAGCATTTGGAAGGTGGTTAGTGTGCACTATCGGTAGTGTTTACTAAATTATTTACGTTAAAAATGCTAGTACTAAGACCCCACCTCAATCCTAGTGAATTGGCATTCTCAAGGGGTCTGTTCCAGAATATTTATTTGGTGGTCCTGGGCGTGGAACCCAGGGCCTCATACAAACTAGACATCCCTACCCCAAGAAATGTGATTGTAAACATCCTTCTTCAGGAGTGCCCTAGGAATAAAAGGTAAGCCCTCTGTGTGTGTGAGCGTGTGGTCCTGAGCCAGAGCCTACTGTGTGTGTGTGAGAGCCTACTCTGTGTGAGTGTGTGGTCCTGAGCCAGAGCCTACTATGTGTGTGAGCGTGTGGTCCTGAGCCAGAGCCTACTGTGTGTGTGAGCGTGTGGTCCTGAGCCAGAGCCTACTGTGTGTGTGAGCGTGTGATCCTGAGCCAGAGCCTACTGTGTGTGTGAGTGGGTGGTCCTGAGCATGATCCTACTGTGTGTGTGAATGGGTGGTCCTGAGTCCATTGTGTGTGTGTGTGAGTGAGGTTTATTCAAGTTAATACTGATACTGGGAGAGGAAGGGTTCTCACCTCTTTATGCTCTCTATCAGAGAGCATAAGAAATGTCCAGTCTCCCATAGACTGTGCCTGATGCTGTGTCAGGACAGCAAGCATTAGATGTGGAGTGAGTGACACACTGCCCCACATGTGCCTTACTGTGGTGGTCACAACTGGAGGACACCTCCCGGTTAGAGGAGCACTTAGAACTTCCCAACAGCCTTCCTTTTGACAAAGTCAAAGCCTTTATGTTACCATCATGCCCCTATCTCCCGAGTACTGGGTTACAGGAATGCACCTCCCCACTCTGGTTGTACAGTGGTGTGGAGGATTGAACCCACGGTTTTGTACATGCTAGTGAAGGACCCCCCCACCCTGAGCAGCACCCAACATTCTCTGGATGAGTCTTTGCCGGTCTTCTGAGGGCAGAGCCTTAGTTCGTGGAATGGTGGTGGAAAATTCCCAGTAAATGGCTGACAATGTACTTAGCCTTTCGGACCTTTGTTTTCTCCATTTATATAAGCAAATGATTGGACAAAATTATATATATCTTATAAGCTGCTTAGCATTGTGTCTGGCCTGTGGCCAGTGCTCAGATGTGGTATTTTGGTGTTTATTTTTACTAATAGTCATAGACCTTCATGGGTATGTCCAGGGAGGGATCTCCCTCAAGCCACGACTCTGTTATGTGATCTGCCTCAGCTCCCATGAGGTCTGCACCACCACCCCAGAAGTCTGCACATCTGAGATCCAGGCTGCAATTCTTAACCTGAGCTCATTCTTTTTGTAGCTTTAATTGGCTTTATAAAAATCTTCACATAATTTGGATACTTCCTGCTGCCCACTTTCAGTCACATTTCCAAATGAACACATTTGCAGTGTCTTGCCAAGAGGCTCGGAGCAGAGACGTAGGAGACGACAGGGAACAAGAGTCTCAACAGAGAGGAGACAGTTAAGTTAGCCTTCTTGGTTTTCTTGAGAGTCTGAGAAGTCTCAGCAAGAAGACAGGAGCAGAGGCTCTCTACTGGGGGAAGTATTGGGGAGTAAAGGTGCTAACTCAAATGAGACACTTGAGAAATACTTAGAAGCATCATCAAATACCATGTTATTGGTCAGGGATGAAACCATCAGCTGGAGTTGGAACTGATGGCCAAGGTCATTCATTTAGCCCGCAGTCCTCAGCCAGACCTGAGCCTGCACCATGTCAGAGCTTGGAACCTGGGCTTGAATGACAGCATATGGCATTTGATCTGGTAATCTCTGAAGTATGACAGATGTTTCTTTAGGTCGTGTGGCCACCCTATTCACATTTCCTGCTCTCCTGCCTTCACGATCTGCCTGCTGCTCATCTGGAGTGCAGATGGCATAGTGAATCCTGTGCTGCTGACATCCAGCATGCTTGAAAACCTCCATCAACTCCCATGCTCCTACATTCTTATCAGAGAGAGCATGTAAATACCCTCTCTTCCTTGGCTAGCACCCTGCTCCCACTGAAAGATGTTGTGCAGGTTGTGTGTGTGTGTGTGTGTGTGTGTGTGTGTGTGTTGGAGTGTGAGGGAAAGGTACATGTAAGTGGGGTGGAGTTTAACTTAAGTTTTTTTTCTTTTAATTGTACAAATGTGTGAGATACTGTATGTTAATACAGTATTATGCACAACATGTAGTGACCAAATCAGGGAAGTTAATATTTCTATTTCCATAAACATAAAAAAATTGATTAACACATAATTGTGTTATTTAATATATAATATATAATTTGTGGACTGCAGTGTGATGCTATAAGACATACACACAAAATGTACCGATTAAAACAGCATGATTAAGGCTTACATCTACTGATGATGTCCTGACGCTCCTCTTTTCTAGCTCTTCATAAAATATCTGTGCCTCAACAAATGCTTAAGGGTTCCCAGCAGTTTAAAGCCAACAGAGAGGAGGGCACAGGATTCCCTCGCCATCTGTAAAGGTTCGAGCCTCACTCTCGTCGGAGGTAGACACATACAACTCGAAGATTTCTGCAACATGATACAGTGCAGTTTAAAATCTTGGTTCTTTTTGTTTGTTTGTTTGATTTTTCTATTTTTTCTATTGAGCTTAGATCCAGACTTGCCCCAAGACAGAAAATATAGGAAAGGACTAGAAACTGGAGCCTGGAGCCTCAAAGTCGCTTCCCAGCCGTGACGTTCAGCGGCCAGCAGGTGTCAGTGCGCTCTCGTTCTGCCACGGCTCAGGGCCTACGCCTCCAGGACCCTTCCCCACAGCCGTTCAAGGCGGCGCAGTGCAGACCCCAGCCCACGAACGTCTCGCAGACAGCTCCATGGCTGCAAGGATATGTGGCTGTCTCTCCCCAAGTATGAATAAGTCAAGCTTGGTTCGCTCACGCGTGGGTGTTGTCCATTCCGCTTCAGCGGTTCCAAAGGAACCCGCACATGCTTATCTCTCTAGGATCCCTTTCATCCCGGCCACCACCAGGAGCTCCTTCCTGGCTGGGGCGGGGCTGCTTCGCCAGCGACCCCTACACGACGGTGCGGCTGGTACCCTTTCCTGCTAGAACCCAGTTAGATCGGTGTACTCCAGGGTGTAACTGTCTCCTGGCCCGCCGGGAGCTGCGCGGCCAACTCCCAGCAGGGGCCGCTCCCCACTCCTTAGGCTCTCTCTTAAAGCCCCTTGTTCACAGTACCCGCCTTTCCAAAAGGCCAGTACAGCCTGCGAGGCAGCTCTCTCTGGGGTCCGACGCGGGTGCGGGCTCTGGACCTGAGTAGGGGAGGCGCGAGGGGCGGAGGAGGGTCGGCTTCCCACGTGGGGGCTGACGCTGGCTGCTGGGCAACGCCGGTTTCATCCTGGGACTATAAAACCAGTGCACCGTAGAGCGGTGGAGCAGCGCTTCTGTGCAGACGCCCAGCAGCCGGTGCACGCCGCCCAGTCACCCCAGCGCCTTCAGCCCCAAGTCCTGCTAAAACTCAAACGGTCTTCGGACCCCCGCCGGGTCTGCTGCGCTCAGAGCCCACCCAACTCGCGGTTAGCGGCCACCCTTGCCTCGGCCTCGGCTTCCGGAGGGTCAGTCGCTCACCTAGCTTGGCCCTGAGGACGTGTGTGGGGGGGGTGCCTTCATGCGGTCCCCACACGCTTCATCCCGCCACCGCTGCCCCAGAGCTCCGTGCGCTGCGTCCCAGCCCCAGCAGGGCGCACAACTTTGGAAGTCCCGTGGCTCTATAAGAGGAAGCAGAGTCCGCGCCCTCACCCAAGGTCCGGCCCAGCCCGCTCCACCGCTCCTGGGGGGCAGCGACAGAATCGGAAATCGCTTCGAGGGTATAAGAAGATCGACCTAGGACCCTGAGCCCTCACCAACACCCCTCGGCTGCCTTTTGGGGTAAGACTTCCTGCTTTCTCTCAGCTCAAGAGTCAAGGTATAGATGCCTATTTAAATACATTTGTATAATTTTCTGACATCTTTCCAAGTCATCAGGCCACCGATGATTTCTTTTCTTTTTTCTTGAAGAATTAAATCTCTAACTGCCAGCTGGCCCTACTCTATCCTGCCTCTTAGGAAAAAACTTGGCTGTGTTTGGGGAGCTGGAAGAGAGAAGGCGCCCACCCGGAGCGGTGGACCAGCCGGTGCCAGTTCGCGGGCACTAATCCATGGACCACTAGCGGTCCCCCAGCTTGGGCCTGGGCTCCCTATGTGAGGCGCGGCGGGACGGTCCGCGCGCCAGAGGAAGAGGAGGACCCACGGACGCGGGGCCGGAAGGCAGCTGGCAGCAGGCCCAGGAGAACCGGCACCCGCGTTCATGTTCCGCCAGGAGCAGCCGCTGGCCGAGGGCAGCTTTGCGCCCATGGGCTCCCTGCAGCCGGACTCTGGCAACACGAGCTGGAACGGGACTGAGGCGCCCGGGGACGGCACCCGTGCCACCCCTTACTCCCTGCAGGTGACACTGACTCTGGTGTGTCTGGCTGGCCTGTTGATGCTGTTCACAGTGTTTGGCAACGTGCTGGTTATTATTGCAGTGTTCACCAGTCGTGCACTTAAAGCGCCCCAAAACCTCTTCCTGGTGTCTCTGGCCTCAGCGGACATCCTGGTGGCCACACTGGTCATTCCCTTTTCTTTGGCCAACGAGGTTATGGGCTACTGGTACTTTGGTAAGGTGTGGTGCGAGATCTACTTGGCTCTCGACGTGCTCTTCTGCACGTCGTCCATAGTGCACCTGTGCGCCATCAGCCTGGACCGCTACTGGTCCATCACACAGGCCATCGAGTACAACCTGAAGCGCACACCGCGCCGGATCAAGGCCATCATCGTCACCGTGTGGGTCATCTCGGCCGTCATCTCCTTCCCGCCCCTCATCTCCATAGAGAAGAAGGGCGCTGGTGGCGGCCAGCAGCCGGCCGAACCGAGCTGCAAGATCAACGACCAGAAGTGGTATGTCATCTCGTCGTCCATCGGTTCCTTCTTCGCGCCTTGCCTCATCATGATCCTGGTCTATGTGCGTATCTATCAGATCGCCAAGCGTCGCACCCGCGTGCCGCCCAGCCGCCGGGGTCCGGACGCTTGTTCCGCGCCACCTGGGGGCGCCGATCGCAGGCCCAATGGCCTGGGCCCCGAACGCGG